GAATATGGAAAAACATAAAGTTAAACCCAATCCGAAAACATTCCTTTGCTTCAGAATTGCTTACCATGGTCCCAATAAAGAGAATTATTCAGAGCCAGCGAGGAAGGAGCCCTAATTTTTGAAAAGTCACTTCCTGTATCAGATATTTTTACAGGATATCAAATTTCTAACCCAAATTTGGACCTGATAATAAAGGAGACCAAAAAACAAACAAAACCCCAAACCCACCAGCAGCAGTAACCATACTAATGGAAGTGGGCGCACCGGGGCAGTCAGAACAGTGGGAGCTGCTCCTACCATCACATCAGGTAGACTGATCACGCCTCAGGCCTCAGCAGGCCAGTCCGAATACTGCCTGCCTCAATGCTGGCCCAAGCGCACCAGGGCCACAGAGCAGCGTGGGACACTCATCTTCCTCCCAGCAGCCTCCACAAGGACTCTGACCGGCGGGCAGCAGGATAACCTAGCGGCAGCCAGCGCACTGCCGCGCCCTGATCTGGCCTTGGCAGTGAACCACATACTCAGAATGCCTGGTGGCTAAGTCCCAACACTTCTCACAGACCGGTGGCATCTAAGCTGCACCAGTGTGTTCTCCAACAAATGTATACAGGGTGTCTGTAGATTCTACTACATTTTGAAAATGAAATCAATTTTAATAAGCACTGGCTTTATCATTACACTTTTTTGTGTATAAATTTGGGGGGATACCCTATATTTTGGACCTATGCTTTGGGGGGGAAGTGTCAAGCAAGGTATGTGTTGAAATTATCCCACTTGCAGAGTTCGTGTGGTGCAGACTGACCAAGGCAATGAAAACTGTGAAATGTGCTGGAGGCAAGCGTTTGATGTTACATGTGCGAATCCCTTCAGAGTAGTAACATCGTTCAACAAATAGTGCATTAACAAATATTTAACTTGAGACATAAAGTCTGTGTTAACACAACAAAATAAAAAAAAATGTAATGATAAAGCCAGTGCTTATTAAAATTGATTTCATTTTCAAAATGTAGTAGAATCTACAGACACCCTGTATACATTTGTTGGAGAACACACTGGTGCAGCTTAGATGCCACCGGTCTGTGAGAAGTGTTGGGACTTAGCTACCAGGCATTCTGAGTATGTGGTTCACTGCCAGGGCCAGATCAGGGCACGGCAGTGCGCTGGCTGCCGCTGGGTTATCCTGCTGCCTGCCGGTCAGAGTCCTTGTGGAGGCTGCTGGGAGGGAGATGAGTGTCCCAAACGCAAATGAGGATTCTTTTGGTTCACCTTTATTTTTAGTGTCTTAGCAGTGATTTGGTTCACTGTCTATATTATGTTTCTAACCAATGAAATTGCTCACAGTTTTTGAAAGCACAGAAGCTGTAGAGTTTTTCCAGAAAGGTTTTAAAACCCCAAAGGTTAACTACTAACTAAACATATTTTTACCTTCGATTTCTGTCTTGACTGGCAGCTACAATTTGGTAGTAGGCATGCCGTCATTGATACAAACCTGTTTGGTTCCCCAGCACACTGATTGTCATGGACAGTGTTTTATTTTTCTCTCGGCGTTGATTTGTGAGCATGCATTAAGATGCAAAAAGCATGGCTGATAACTCCTTAAAAGGGTACAGCACCCTATTTATATATTTGTTGGTTTTATTTTATTTTTTTAAATACATTGTCATTGCTGTTTTAGAGAGAAAGGAAGGGAGAAACAAAAACATCGATGTGAGAGAGAAACATAGACTAGCTGCCTCCTACATGCCCCTCACTAGAAATTGAGCCCAAAACCCGGGCATGTGCCCTGACCAGGAATCGAACTGAAATCTCTCAGCCCATGGGATGACACTCAATCCACTAAGCCACACCGGCTGGGCTGTTTTGTACTGATTTTAAAGTGCTATGAAAATATTCAGGTTTTTAAAAAAATGTTTGCAAAAGAAAAATATTCAGAAGGAAAAACACATATATTTTTAATTTAAAAAATTAAACATTAAGCCCTGGCCAGTTTGGTTCAGCAGTTAGAGCATCGGCCTGCGGACCAGAGAGACCTGGATTCGGTTCCTGCTAGGGGCACGTACCTTGGTTGCAGTTTGTCCCTGACCCCGGTTGGGGCTGTGTGGGTGGCAACCAGTCAATATGTCTCTCTCACATCGATGTTTCTCTTTCTCTCTTCCTCCCTCTCCCCCTCCTGCTCTATCTGAAGATGAATGTAAAAATGTCCTCGGGTGCAGGTGGAAAAAAAAAATTTAAACATTAAAAAAACAAGGTAGCCCTGTCGATGTGGCTCAGTGGTTGAGCATCAACTCATGCACCAAGAGGTCACCGGTTCGATTCCCGGTCAGGACACATGCCCAGGTTGTGGGCCCGATCCCCAGTGGGGGGCGTGCAGGAGGCAGCTAATCGATGTTCTCTCTCATCGATGTTTCTATCTCTCTCCCTTTCCTTTCCTCTCTCTCTCATATTAATAAAATTAAAAATAAATTTAAAAACAAGGTATATAAACTTGTTTTTCATAAGTCAAAAAAATAAATAATAACACAAGGCTTGTCATGGACAACAGCTGTCTCATCCCCACTCTCTGGTTTATATTCTCTCGTCTAGACATCGCCACCATCCACTCACCTCTGGCCACCCTGCCAGTCAGCGGAGTAGGGGAAGAGCGGCAGGGAGCTCGGAGGAATCAAATGGCCCTGCTCCAATGACTGTACTTCCCGTTAGTCACCCTAAGAAAAGCCCCAGGTCCCTTCAGTTTCTTTACCACGGCGAAGCCCAGAGCGCCCCGACGCGGTCTTCCTGTGCCCGTTCCTATGCATTTCCAGCTGCCCCTGTTTCCAACTGTCTTCTTTTCCTCTTCCGGTGATACTTCCACATGTTAATATACCCCCACTTGTATGGACGTAGTCTTATTTCCTTTCCAAAACTGCCTTTCCTGTCGTGTCTTTAGTTTTATAAATTTCTACTTTATCGTCGACGTATGACAGATGCCTCCCATTCTCTCCCTCTTGGCCTCCCTCCACCCACCCCCCGCGCCCCAGGCCATTCGATTTGTAAGCAGGTAGCCCCCGGAAATCACTGGCCACACAAGCTCCTCTCAAAATGATGTGATTAATATCCGCCAAAGAAACAACAAATGCATCATAAGCTTTATTTAGAAGGCTGGGACAAACAAGAGTATCAGTTTGTTTTTTTCAAGTTTAAATTAACTAATGAGGCGGGGAGAACAGCACAAAGCTGCCTATTTACAAAAGACAGACGTAACTGAAGAGGGTAAGTTTTTATTCCAGAATAGGAATAACGACACGCACAAAACGATGGTTTTATAAACATGGAACTAAACCTTTCATACTCATGGACTTTTCTTCGTAGGGAGAAAAGACTGACATTAATTCTTTGGTATCCTCTTTTAAAATAATTGCTTCTTGAACGGTTGTCCATGAGAGTGCTTACAAATGTCCAAGATGGATATATAAACATGCATTCTGATGACTGATTTTTGAGCATCATTCAGCTTCTCCTTCGGTGACCGCCCACTCCAATGCAGAGTGGTGTGGGGAAGACAGACTCCAGCAGTGTGACTCTGCTCCTTTCCAGCTGTCATCTTGGGGATGTGCACCCTCTGCATGTCAACCTTCTCGCTTTTGCAATGGGGTACAATTCCACCCACACCGGCTGTGGGAAGGGTTCATCAAGATCATAACTGTGAAAGCACATGGCCCAATGCCTGGCCTATAGGTAAGGTTCTAAAATGCTGGTTTAAAAAACATTCTAGTAGCCTAGCAGGTGTGGCTCAGTGGTTGAGTGTCGACCCCTGCACCCAGAGGTCACTGGTTCGATTCCCAGTCAGGGCACATGCTCAGGTTGTGGGCCCGGTCCCCAGTGGGGGGGCGTGCAGGAGGAGGCCAATTGATGTTTTCTCTCATCGATGTTTTTATCTCTCCCTCCCTCTCCCTTCCCCTCTCTCTAAAACTGATAAAGAAAATTAAATTAAGAAACATTCTAGTAGTCAAGAGAAAGTGTGAGTATCATGGAACATTCCTGCTGTCTCTGTCTACCCCCCTTCCTCTCTGGCCAGAGACCAAGCATTCATAAGAAAAGACAAGCTAGCCTGGCTGGTGTAGTTCAGTTGGTTGGGCATTGTCCCAAGCGCTGATGCCCGGTTGGATTCCTGGTCAGGGCACGTGCCCGGGTTGCGGGATCCCCAGTAGGGGACATGCAGGAGGCAGCCCATCGATGTTTCTTGCTCCCTCTTCTCTCCTCTCTCTCTAAAATCAATAAAATCACTTTTTTTAAAAAACGCCAAAAAAAATAGACAAGCTATTTATGGAACGAAAGCTGAGCTTTAATAAATTATGGTCAGAAGTCTAGTTCTTATCAGGTTGTTTATGTATCACGCTGGCTGTTTTTATTATTTATTTGTTTCAAGTAAGCCATCTGGTCCTCCTTCCTTTGTAAGGCAAATTCTGTTTCTTCGGGTCAAGCGCTATAACCAAATTTCCTTCCCGAAATCTTTTAGTTTGAAAGAAAGTTTCTTTTCACTTTTGCCCTTTCTAAGAGGTAGGGTATTTACCCTATACTATTTTAATAGAGTTGTATTTGCTCTGAATTAAAACAATTCCTTTTACTTTACTGACGTTGATACTTTTGGGCTAGCTTTTTGAAAACCAAACTCCGAGGCAACTACATAATTCTTGTTCAGTGAAATACTTAGCTTTTCCTTGCCTCCAGCCTTCACAGTTAAATTGTTCTTTTGGGATATTGCTCGGTAGATGATAGGGAAACCTACATAGCTCAAATCATACCCATCGTGTGAAACCCTGGCCCCTCTGTGAGACCATCCAAGAGGCCAGAACTAGGAGAAAAGTCAAGTTCGTCCATGGAAGTACACGGATCTCACCACAGGCGGCCAAACTTTGTTCTTTAGAAAATGGGCTTCGACGTAGGTCGGGGCAATGCGGCCGGCCCAGAACTCGATGCTGGTTCAGTGCCTGCAGGCCACCTGCCGATCCTGGTCCCTCTCAGAACGTCTCCCTCATCTCTGGGCCTTGGTCCTGGCACACCACAAGCGGTTTGCACAAGACAGTCTCTGGGGCCCGGTTCAGTTCAAATACCCCGTGGTTCTAATTCTTCCTTTAGCCTCAACAGCATGAGGTTCCGAAGGCTCCACTCTTCCCGAAAAACCTGCTGGTGTGGCCCTCAGATGTGTCGTCCGGTGAGAAAAAAGAGCGGCCGGTCCTCCTTGGCGTTGGCGGTCTGGAACTCGTCGCGCAGTCGGAACTGCCACTGGTCTTCCAGCTCCAGGCGGACCACCGTCTGGCGGAGTGAGTTCCGGTCCTGGCAGATCACGCACAAGGTCGCGCCTGCACGGACGACAGCAGAGGCGTGGGAAGGAAACAGGTGAGTTTATCCAACAGAAACCTACTGCCTGGGTTCTGCTTGCGAGAAAGAAATACGACGCTGCTTGGAAGGCAAGGACCAGATGCCCAAGTGACCTCGTTTTTGCGAAATGCTTCCTAATCTTAGCAAGACAGACCCCGCGATGCCATGGGCAGGCCTGGCAGGTGAGATCAAATGGAGGCAGAAGAAACGTGGACAGAAAAGGAGAACTGGAAAGAGACTCTGGTGGGATATTTCTCAGCGGCAGCCCCGGGTGTGAACCGGCCACCTGACCACCTCAAGGCCCAACCCCACCTTCCCCCACCCAAGGAGACCACCCAACCAGGCTGATGCAGCTCCCACCTCTAACCACCTGCCCAGCCAGGTGAATTTTCCTCCTCTTGAATTCCAGTATAATCAAGACATCATTTATGTCCATTCATTCATTCATTCATTCATTCTGTTGCTCTGCTGTCTCTCTACTACCTACCTACCTTCCCACCTTCTTCCCTACATGTCCTATCCTCCCACTAGACACATATTTCCCAAGGGCAGAGAGTGTTGTAGAGCTTCTCACTGTTTCCCAAGGCCTTATACTGTGTGGGGCTCCGCAAATACCTGCTAGACAAGGTCAGAGTGAAGACCAACCAAGGAAAACTGCACGTCAGTTAGGGACCCCAGCTGGACTGGAAATCCTGTTTTTAAGTCACACAGAATGAACGTCTGTCACTCTGAGCCACTCCAGCAAGAAAACAGCTACAGAAGGAGAAAGATTAGCGTGAAAGTCAAGAAACATGCAGTCTCCCAAGGCGAGCAGAAAGAACCCATGTACTTGGAGGAGAAACATCTGTGGGGAGCTGGGTGCTGGTGCTAAGAATCTGGAGTGAAAAGGAACACACACAAGTTGAACGTATCTGCAATGTGCCCAAAAGAAAGGGGATGTGTCTGATCTCTACCCAACAGGAATGGGGGAGACAGTCTCCCTGGAGTCCCGGCCCCACCTTCCTGTACTTTCCTGGTGGTGTTTCCCCTTCTGAGCCTCAATGTCCCCTCTGGCAAATGGGCGACCAGGAGTCACCTTCTCAGAGGCACCAGGTGACGACAGCATTCAAGTCAAGACCCAGGGTGAGAGTCTGGGAAGTTACCTTTCAGAAAATGAAACTTTTTCAAGAAGCTGGCTCCCACGAAGGAGTCACAGAGGTAGAGCAGGAGTCCGCTGAACATGAAGTCAGCGCAGCTGATGTTTAAGGAGTGAGGCCTGGAGCTCACGTAACACACCGAGATCTGAAACACAGGGCAGCCGAGAGGAAACCCATCGCCTTCCGGGACGTGCTCAGCAACAGCACGCTGGGGCTTTGCAGCTAAGACACTGCTTGCTCCAGCTCAGGGGCTGGGGGGAGAAACCATCTTCCTGTGTTGTGTCCAAATCGCTATCCTGAGACTCAGCTCTACCCACGCACTAACTCGCTGCAGAATCAGAAATGTTTCAGCGTCAGAATTGCGTGTGCTTCCTAGCGTATCCTATTGGAGCACACCGTTTAAATTCTCTCAGCCTTGCCCTGGCCAGTTTGGCTCAGCGGTTAGAGCGTCGGCCTGCGGTCCAGAGAGACCCGGGTTCGGTTCCCGCTAAGGGCACGTACCTCGGTTGCAGTTTGTCCCCGGCCCTGGTCGGTCGGGCGGGTGGCAGCCACTCGATGTGTCCCTTTCACATCGATGTTTCTCTCTCTCTCTGTTCCTCTCTCTCCCTCCCACTCTACCTGAACAAAAAATGGAAAAGTTTCCTCTGGTGAGGATAAAAAATAAATAAATAAATTCTCTCAGCCTTTGTGTTATCGGCTGTGACGTGGGGTGAATCCCCGAGACGAAGTAGTTGCATGTGATTCTGAGTCCTAGATTCTGCTGCGCTTGTTCGAGGCATTTCTCAGTGGATGCCCTCGACGGTGCCCCCCTGAGAGTTACCTGAGACCCCAGGTCAAGGTAGCAGTCGACTAAGAGCACGGGGTGGGCGTGATTCTTCAGGGACAGCGGGAAGAAGCGGTGGCCGTGGCGCTGGAGGAACTTCTCCAGCAGCAGCTGCGCGGGGGCCGCCAGGAACGTGTGCTTGCTGTCCGGGGCGCAGATGTACTGGGCTGGCACGATGGCCACGGGGTTGTCGGACACCTGCGGGGGAAGGACGAGCGTCGGGCCCTCCCAGCCACCCTGGGCAGAGAAGGCCTGCCCATGGGAACGCAGGCTGGTGGCCCCGTCACGGAGGGCTGTGTCTCAGGGTGGTGCTGAGAGTTGAGAACACACACTTCACCAATAAAACTCTCTGCTAAGGAAGACTCGGTTTTACCAAAGTGGAACATGTGACAGCTGATCAATGTGATCAGTACAGGTTGTCAGCATTGATCTTTCCTGGTAGAAAGTTGGCCGCCTGGTCTAGAAAGAACAAGAGAATCCATGCACCTTGGGAACGTTACCCCAAGGCCAGGGATGCAAACCTAGGGCATGGTCAGTCTCCCCTGAGCCCCAGTTCCCACCCATGCCCACTGCCCGCATCGAGCCCACCACCTCATATTTCCCTGCTGACATCAGGAAAGCTAATCTGCTGGCACCCCTCAGGGATGGGTCATTACTCCCAGAGAGAAGTTAGGATGCTCCCACGACCCATAAGGTCCTGCCTTCTTCGCAGCTCATCCCTGCCCCTCCCCCCGCTGACCTTCACACTTGCTCCGCGCCAACCTCCTTGCTTCTACCCTCGGCATCATCGTCAGCCGGGTTCTCCCCCGTGCCTGGATACATCACTCTTCTCATCCTCCGGGGTCCTGCCTTAATGTCACCTCCTCAGGGACACCCACACACCCCCAGCCCACCACCAGTGAGGTGAGGTCTCTGTGACGCACACGTCACCCTTGGGGTACTTATCACAACGGCGCTTCACTACATAGCTATTTAACATCTGGCTCAGCTGCCAGGCTGAGTGAAGGGACCGGGTGCCCAGACAACACTTCATGAGTCAATAAACGAAAACAAGGAAGTTATTTCATTCAGATGAAATGTTATAAAACATTACGAGCTTTCCTCCATATAATCAATGCACAATCAAATCTAAAGACAGAAGCAAGATTATGCTCAGAATAGGAATAAAGATAAAATACCTAGGAGTTAATCAAAAGGATACGGAGGGAACTAAAAGAAAAATTAGTTTCTTTTTTTATTATTTATTATTTTTTTAAATCTTCACTCGAGGATATATTTCCATTTATCTTCAGATAGAGTGGGAGGGAGGGAGAGGGAAAGAGAGAGAGAGAGGACTATGTGAGAGACACATCGACTGGTTACCTCCTGCACGACCCCGACCAGGGCCAAAGATGAACCGCAAGTGAAGTACGTGCCCTTGATCTGAATCAAACCCACAACTCTTTTGTCTGTTGTCTGCGGGCCAACGCTCAAACCACTTAGCAAACCAGCCAGGGCAGAAAAATTAGTTTTCAAAGCACATAGGGCTTTTTGGTAGGAAGACTTAATATGGTGAAGACCTGAATTCCCCCCAATGAAACTGTCAATCTAACACAATTGCAGTAAAAAATCTCAGTAGTGGGGGGGACACTTCAAACGACTCCGAGTTCTGCTGGAAAGACAGACCTTTTCATTTAAGCATCTTGCTATTTTGTAAGAGAAGTGAGGAGGGACCGTCACTCCTGCTGATGAGGGAAGGGGAGGGGACGGAGCTGGACCTGCGTTCAGACCTGCCCGGCTCAGAGAAGGTAACCACGTAGGAGTTAGTGGGGACCGGGAAGGACGAGCTGGAAGAGGCAGCTGGCATGAGCCCTGGCTGATGCCATCGGGCATGATGCAAGGTAGACGGAGGTGGGAAGCAGAGGACAGGGCTCTGGCCCGGGAGGGGCGAGACCTGCAGGCAGGGGTAAGCCAGATCCACATCACTCCGAAAGACAGACCCCTCTCTGGGCTGGCTGTGACTTCACACGGACATCCCCAGGCCTGCCCGGCCAGCACCGACACAGCGGATCCTGCCTCTGCCCACCGGAGGCTGGCCCGCAGACAAACGCAAGCCATCAGGGGAGCCGGTCAGTGCCATCCAGACAGTCTTTGGCCAGGCGCTGTCCCAGGGCCCAGAGAAGAGCCCGCATCCCGCCTCGCCCCAGAGCTCCACACAGCAGAGAGACCAGACCAGTGAGCTCCGCGTGCCGAGCTGGAGACGGGCTCGGGAGCCCCGGGGGGCTGGGGCGGCAGTGCGCAGGGAGTTCTGTGTGGATGGGCACCGAGCAGACTCGGCGGAAACCTGCACAACACTACCCACGGGCCAGCCCACCCACGGACAGAGGCGGCCCTGTGGCCTCCTGCCAGCTCGCACCCCTGCCTTCATAGCACGAGGGGCAGCGCCAGCAGGGCACACGGTACCCACCTTGGAGGTGATGTGGAAGGACCGGTGCCCGCCCACCGCGATCTGCTTCTTCATCACGCTGAAGCGGTTGAACCGGCAGAGCAGGAGGCCGGCGCTGTGCACCCGGAGGTTGAAGTCCACGTCGTCACATAGGAACCTGCCCAGACGCAGGGGAGGGGACAGATCGCACAGGGCGCCGCTCCTGCGCCCGTCACGGCCTGCCTGCCCCAGACATGAGGGTGCCCCGGTACCAGGGACTAGGGAGTGGGGAGGCCCGTTCCTGCCCCGCAGACCTCCCTCCGGGAGGCAGGCGGCTAACAAGCGAGGAGAACAGGACAGGCTGTGCCGCCGGCACCAGGAAAGGCAGCTGCTCCCACGGTGCAAACCGCAGAAGGGCCACCACCTGCGGCCACACGGGCACGCTGTGAGGACGGCACGAGCACTCCGTCATCTATGTGTTCAGAAGAAATAAGCAAACCTCCCAGGGTAAAAAAAAAGAAGTAGCCACTTTTTCCAGCTGAGGAAACAAGGTTCACTGCAGAACCGGGTTCCTAGCAGCGTAGTCTGGCTCAAATCGGGCATCACATGGGCCACCTGAGGTGTGTGCCCACTGCCTGGCTCAGGGGCACCTGCCAAGCGTCGGTGCCTGGGTGATGCTCGAGATGGGAGCACTTCTGTGGCTGGTACGTGGAAAGCAACACATGGGAGCACTTTACAGTCTCTTCAGGGCTGACGCTCCTCAAAGCTAGGTGTTCAGAGGAGCCAGGAAAGTAAGAGAAAACACGTAAACACACGCTACAGACTTAGCCTCTAAATAAAGTGCGATGTGAACCCATGAAGGAAGTTGAATAATCCTGTGCAAGTCTCTCCTCCACAAATTATACAACAAAAATACAGAGAGAAAGAGAGAGAGAGAGAGAAAGGAAGAAAGGGAAGGGAGGAAGGGAGGAAGGGAGGGGAGGGAGGGAGGGAGGGAGGAAAGGAAGGAAGGAAGAAGGAAGGAAGGAAGGAAGGAAAGGAAGGAAGGAGGAGAAGGAAGGAAGGAAGGGAGGGAGGGATGGAGGAGGGAGGGAGGGAGGGAGGGGGAAGGAAGGAAGGAAGGAAGGAAGGAAGGAAGGAAGGAGTAAGGAAGGAAGGAAGGAGAAGGAAGGAAGGAGGGAAAGGAAGGAAGGAAGGAAGGAAGGAAGGAAGGAAGGAAGGAAGGAAGAGGAA